TGCAGTGAGAACAGCTTCCTCTTTGTCATTAGCAGCTGCAACAATTTCCCCAGTTGGTCCTGGCATCAAAATATTCATATTTTGACTTATTTCATACAGGTGAAGTTCATGAGTAAGACTAATGACTTGCAGAAGAAAGAATCATCAAATTTGTACCCGCTATGAAGGAATTCCCATAGAATGTAATCCCACTATTCCCGTGCTCTGTCTCAATTATTTCCTTCCCAATGCGGTTAGAGGCTACAAGGGGTACCTGAATAAACACATTATCCATTAACGCTTTGCATGCTAGGAGCTCCTCCCTAAATTGCATAACAGAAGAATAATAAAGATGATCATGCCCTCACGATCACCAGAAACGTAATATCTCTATCCAATTACAGAAAATGAAAAAGTAAATAAAATGTAAAGATTGGGAAAGCTGGAACAAAAAGGTCAGTCCATCAGTCCTCTAACTTACCACATTCGCCCCAGCATGCCCTTGCATCACTCGCTGCCAATGTTCACAAGAATCAAGTCCTTCATCTTGTGGTTCAGAGCCAATAGCCGTAGGGTAAAACAATATCTCAGCACCTTGCAAAACCATAGCACGGGCAGCCTCTGGAAACCACTGGTCCCAACATATTCCTGACATGCAAAATCAAGCAATTGCTTTAGATCTTCCACATCTTTGTTTTGCAGGTAAATTGATGAAACAAACAGACAATTCTGCAATTAATTTTTGTTGCCAACATAGTCTGATCCCAGAGCAGAGACCATGATTGCAAACAATAATTATAAGGTACACCATACTTGGATTTATTCAAGTGACAGATCAAATTTTGTAAATGAAATTTGCAAGCTTCAGCAGATAAGATAATAAGCAGAAGGGTAACACTGTTAAAAGGAAGAGGAAAAGAAGCACTGACCAACTCCAATCTTTGCAAATTTAGTCTGGAAAACCTGTTACCAATTGAATCCATAAGTTTTTTTTTTGAAAGGCAGCTTCCATAAGTTAACTAATCCAGACAGGTCAGACACAAAATCTCAAAATTACTGAAACAACTGTTAATATCAGTTAAAACAAGATTTTAACAGGCACCTACCTTAAAACCTGTGTCTCCAGGATTAAAGTAGAACTTTTCCTGGTATCCTGAAAGAAAAGAGAGGAAACTCTATGTTAACAATGACGATAAATAATTTTCAAAAAAATAATGTTGATAAATATGAATGGCATCATAAAGCATTAACTTTCCACAGACCTGGTCCATCGGGGATATGAGATTTCCTGTAGAGTCCAAGATCAGTCCCATCAGCATCAATGACAGCTACAGAATTGTAATGGGCATTGTTTGCCTCTTCAAAAAAGCTAACTGGTATCACCACACCCAACTCTTTCGCAAGTTTCTGCATCCTAGAAGTGTTCACATAGACAATAACAAGTCCAATTGTGTAAATAATTAGAAGCTGGAAGCCAAGGCCTGTTTAGTTGTTCTTATAAGAGAAAAAAAGGCATAGGTCCAGCCGATAAACTTAAATTTGCACGCCAATCAGTAGGAAGTAATTTTACCTCTGAATGGTAGGGTGATCCGTATAAGGCTTAGCTCGCTGAAAGAAATCCTCCCTTTGTGCTTGACAAAAGTAATAACCCTCAAATAGTTCCTGGAGACACATAAAGACATAAGAATGGCAACTAGACAATGTCAAAAATGCTGTAGAATTTGTCAGTGAAAAAATTTAATCAATCAGATCAGCACACATCTATTGTACCACCAATTACAGCATGCCAACACAGAATTACAGAGGTATTGGAGCAAATGAGAAAAAACTCTGTGGTGATGTTCAAAATTGGAGCAGTTGCATGCTCAAATCTCCATTTTAGAAACCCAGGTTTCACAACAATTTTATCATTAAGAGAGCTATATTTCTTCCATTAAGAGAGAATATAAAGTAGCAGCAGTAACTTATTATAAACAGTTTTCCTTGCCTAATTTTCAAAATCCTTGTGTGCATGAGATGGGGCAGATATTCTAATCTAGTTTATCATGTAACATATCAAAAGCAGTCTTGTGAACAAAGTCTTTTTATCTAATCTTAGCTTAGCATCACAACCTTGTTTTCTGGTTCCTATTGAAATTTCTTTTCCAGCAACTCATCATTTTTAGTTATTGTGTTTGTTTATTTAATTATATTATGCATATGGTTCAGCATTTGCAAGATGGATGAAGTGTATTAGCATTGAGATTGGTACATGTTTTCAAAAGCCATAACAAATGCAAAAAGAAAAAAAAAAGAGAATAATTGGTGTAGCTTCAAAAATGCATTTACTAGGCATAGTACAATTGAAACGCTTTCCAAAAGAATAAAGGAAACCATTTTTTAGAAAAGGCTGAAAACTAATGAGTGCCAAATATCCCAAGATTAAAGAGCACATACCTGAATAAGAACGATATTCGCTCCCTTCTCATGAGCAGCCCTAACCAGCCTGTGTAGAGGATAGTCATTTTAGGTAACTAATGTAACAGCCAAAAGAGAAGGTTGGATAAAAAGCTCCACAATGTGCTAATTATGCCTTGAAGGTGAAGCACAGTGAAATGAAAAAATATCATAATAAATTAGAGAGCAAAAAGTAGAGTATGCTACAAAAGAAAAAAAATGATGACAAGAGCAACCACAACAAATAAAAAAGGCCTTTTCCCACTATATGAGGCCAGCCACGTGAATCATATTGTACCAGTATGCTCCAATTAGAACCATATTGTTAATAAGCTTAACAAAAACATTATTTTTTTAATATGTACGACCCCAAGTCTTCTTTGGTCTTCCCCTCCCTATTTAACAATGCATCCTTCACTAAGTCACTCTGCTTATTGGGGCACTTGTAGGCCTTCACCTCGCATGTCCAAACTCCCTTCCTTTATCCTCAATGGCAACACTCCCACCTTTTTACAAATGCACTCATTTCTAATCATATCCCTTCTTGGATATACACCAATTTATCTTAGCATTCTTATCTCCAATACCCTCAAATGGCACTACTCAGCAAACACTAATTTGAGCAAAAGAAGGGGCAAGAAAATGACCTAATTACAAGAATGACTCATACAAAGAAGAAAGTCAAAGCAATGCACTTCAAACGTTCACATCCTGTGGCTGACTGTTAGAAATATGAGTACCAGTTAACAAAAAGATATTCCTGAAAATTAAGTCACATAAGCTATTACAGAGATAGCTTGCTCATAAAGCTCTCTTTAATGACATTAAGATGCGAGAGGGATATCAAATAATATGCATGAGGACCTCAACACATGCTCCAGAAGCTATTGTGGACATGCACACCCTCAATTTGTAGTAAAAGTGAAGAAGGAGACAATTTTTCATAGGATCAAGAATTGGGGAATCAAGAATTTGTAAACACCATACTGAATACAGCAAGATCTAGAACCTGTCATTCAATTTAGTGAGCAAAACAGGCATCAAGACGTGCCCAACAGTTTCCTCAAGATTGAGTTTGCCAAAATGAAAAGGATCAAACCCAATACTAAGGCAAAGGGACATGTATCTTAAGAAAAGATGAGACATCACCAAGTAGCAGTGTAGCTTTAAGAATCATGATGGTTCTCGCTACATAAGACTGTAAAACTTTATGGATTGAGAATACCAAATATCACAAACGTGCTGAATTAATAGAAGAGCTAAAGTAAAATGTCAGATTCAACATCTTTTTTTTTTTTGAACTTATCTGAAATCGAATGCCAAAATGAAATTCACCTTCAAGCCAAGAAGATGAAAATGAAATTCAATAGAGCTTTTCCACCCATGCTGTGTGCTTGTATATATTATTAAGTTCAGGCATTCACTGCTGCTACAGGTGAAGCAAGAGTGACTATGCAGGGAAAAACACTAAGAAGGCAATAACTTTAGCTTACCCCCAACAAAGTTCAAACCTGGTCAGTTTAATGAAGCACATTAAACTAGAAAAGACATGACTAGTCTCTGAATCACTTCTTTTATTGGTTCTTAGCCACATAATTAGATAGTCTCATATAAGAATCAAGCAATTGAACCGTTCAAAAATCATCAAAATTGATAAAAAGAAAAGCAATAAAAAGCAACCCACAACCAATATATCTGAAAACCAAGGAAACACTTTAAAGATTCCAAGAATATCAAAGCAAATCCAACTTCTGGGTTTGATCTAAAATTCCAAATTAATTAAAAGAACACCCCATAGAAATCCAAAGAAATGAGAAACGAAACAAAAAAAAAGGAGTTGAAACAAAAAGGAACCTTTCGGCAGTGGCGAGATTGGTGGGGATATCATCGGTGCAAGCGAATTGCAAAGCTGAGACAACCACATGTCTCTTTCCCTTCTCCATTTCGTTTTATTTTATTATTATTATTATTATGCTTTGCTTGATTCTTCTTCTATCTCAAACACAGCCGCAGAGCAAAGGGTGGCAAAGCTAAGCAGAAGAAGAGCAAGACACAAGTCCAGCTGCCCAAGTCTCGGGTCTCACTTTATATTTTTCAACGTTCATGCCCGCTCGAGTTAAAGAAGGTTTACTCTGTCTTCCAGGCTATTGGTTTAATATTTTTTTTCACCAATGAGGCTCTTGTTTTTTCCTTTTTTTTAACTACCATTTACTTCTTCCTTTTCATATTGGGTTTAATAGATGAAGTATTGTTGCTATTAGTCAAAGGAAAAGGAGGAAATTGTAGTATCATAATAATAATGCATGGCCGACAAAATTGAGAGTAATAGCGTAAAGTTTTATGATAGATGTCCTACGAATTTGAGATCAAATTTTATTGGGATTCTTCTAAGCCTTACTCCAAATAATATATCCCTGCAAAGATGAGAACTTAGTTAAGTTTTTAGATGGTATTCACCGCCAACATGTCCCTGCAAAAATGAGGTAAAGATTGAAACCAATAGATAAGGTTTAAATAAAAGCCTTTATTACCTGCTAACCTGAATATGCAAGTCAATCATTTCTGTCCCGGTTTAATATATCTAATGTCAGAATAGATGCTATGGAAAACATCAATTAATATGGCAGATTCATTAAAATGTCATCAGGAAAACCATTGCCAGGAATAGAACTGTGCAAGTACTTTGCCAATCAAATCAAACATAGCTGTTATCAGATCAAAAACAACATAACTGTTCACAAGTTTGGTTTATTTTCAACTGCTCCGCATAACAGTGTGGTGTAACTATTCTTGCCATGTTCCACATCCAAAATCCAATTGCATTAAACTCAGTCCTGAACTTCTTGCTTCTTTTCTTTAGATGTCAAATACCATCCCAAAGCACCACCCAAGGTTATAGCACCAGCAAGAACTGCATAGTTCTTGTACTTATCAGTCGATACTTTTTCAGTGGATGCTCCTGATGTTGAAGTAGAGTCACTAGGCTTAGCATCAGTCACTGAACCTCCTGAACCAGCAGCTGTGGTATCCTCTGGTTTGGGTCCCTGAATATTTCAACAATTCCTTGAATATTTATAAAGAGATGCAATAACCACTATTTATTCCACAAATAACTCATAAATTGTTTGTTTACACTTAACATTATATCATAATGAAAAAGGAAAAGAATAATTAAACAAACACATGCATTGTTAAACTATTACATGATCGAGTTACTCATCATAATCTAGCACAATATTTCATACCAAACAAGTCCTATCTTTGTTGCACTACAACTGTTCCACAAAAAATTCACAACTAATTGAACTGCAATAGCACATTTGTAGCCAGTACAAATTTCACGATATGAGAGCAAAACCATAGCATTTAACTTGAACACACAGGCTCTTTAAATACTAGATAAAAAGAAGAATGAAGCTCTGTGTGTGCATGCATAGTGGCAAGTGTTTTTAAATGTATTGTCTGCTCTTGTATCATATTTTTTATGGGAAAAACAAAGTTAACACAATAAGAATTAAAGGATAAAAGACAAAACTAGCTAAAAACCCTTTTAAGCAGATAATCCATACCCAAAAACATTTATATCAAAATAGATCAACATAACAATGATAAGAGCAGACCTTGCGTGCAAGTTTCTCCAATTTCTCTTGCTCAATTTTCTGCAATAGTACAACTTATTGTTAGTACATTAAGAAATCATAACATAAAAAATAAATCAATACTCAAGGTCTAGAACATTATGCTGAATCTAGACTGTGAAAAAGAGGGGAAAAGAGTGGACGAAAAAAGAGAGAGACGGAGAGGGAGAGAGAGAGAGAGAGAGAGACTTAACAAGATTGACAAGCAATATTAGACACAAACTGTTCACTTATTCAAACTTCTATGATGCATAACAGAAGTCTATAACATATATATACCATTATGCAGTACTCACCACTAAAAAATCACTAATTACTGTGAAATCTGTATTATTTTCCATTCGAATTATGTACATATGAACAGATATAGAAATGAAACATAGAAAATCCATAGAATTACAGCACCTAAGAGACTGTTCCATGCATACAAAATGCAAAGTAATAACACTTTGATAAGAGAAAAAGAAGAGGGGAGAAGACATTCACAGTCCTTCAACAGATGATTGCATCATATTTGGAATACTAGTAGAAGAAATATGGGGAAGAGAAATCACCCAAACACCAGCTCTATATAGCAGGCAAGAAAAGGCATTCCAAAAGATAGACTTACAAGCTATCCAGTAACCATAAAAATGGGATCACCTTTAAATGCGACCAGATTTTGTAATCGGGCAACAAAATTATCATCCATAAAGAGATGTTCAAACTATAATATTAGCCAGATCAATTGAACAAACTGATTATCTTTACCCAGAGGCAGAGAATCTTTATTAATATAATGACATACACCCCACATTCAGAGGAGGGCCTAACATGGAGTATGGATGTCTGTGTCTCCGTTTCAAAACTAGACTGATCTGCTTTAAAATTTATTAGCCACCAGACCTTCCCAAACGGAATAGTAGGAGGCATTCAATGTTCAACAAAATGAAATCCAAAATAACCTGTGACAGATTTTACATTTAATAGGCCAACATGTCACGATGTCAAAATCCTTAGATAATCCCTTGTCACTGCTGGGTTGAAATTAATAACCTCAGTTTCTTCATCCAGATTTTTTAATCTTACACTGTACCCTTCTTTAGAGAATGAGTATGAAGTACATCAACTTATTGATGATCCCAAGTTGAATAAAATGCTATAAAAGGAGAAACAACGGATTGGCCTGTAACAACAAGACCCTAGAAGGAAACATTAGAAAAAAAAAAGTGGGAGAGGGTGGAGGCAGGGATAATACAATCTATAGGAAATTAAGAGAATGAAAGTAGTTTAAGCAAAAATGTCTATCAGAATGTTAACACAACGTCAGTAGTCAGAACCCTGAGCTCACACCAAAACAGTGATGTTTATGTGCAAATAATAAATGAAAACAGCCTGGAAAGAATGTGCACCTTGATGTAAACATTTTCTGCAGCCTTTTCCTCCTCACTGAGTATTTTCCCACCACTTGAGAACCTACGAGATATGTATCTAACAGCCATTCTGGTTGCCATACTAGTTGACTATAATGCCTGCAACCAGCATACAGAGACAATCATGTAACCAAATATAACATTAGAACTACAAAACCACAATTCACAACACTTGATAACAAGCATCCATTACGTCATTGCTAACATTGTTCCTGTATAATATACTTGGGAACATTTTGCTTGACAATCTAGAAATTAAAGTAAGAGGCAGAAACGCAAACAAACAGGTTGAAACAAATTTACGCGGTCTTCACAAATTCCATGAAAAAATGGTTTCCAAGAAATAAATCACGTCAACTTCAGATGCAGGTTTCAACAAAATGCCTTTACACAAAGAAGACCTTCAGGCTTCATAGACCTCAATAACTAAACCACCTAAGAGTCTAAGTCAAAAAGTTTTACAAACCCAAGAATCTTCATCTCTAAGCAATATAAGTAAACCCAGATTTTCTTTTCCATTTTTGAGTTCATTTCGTTGATCCTACAATAACCTACTAAGGATTAAACCGAGCATATTACAAAATTTATCAGATTTTAATACAAAACAAGTAAGGCATTTTCCATTGAAAAACTTTTACCATAACTTCGATTAATTTATCTAAGAGTAAAGGAGAAATGTGAGGAAGAGGGTAAACCAGAATGGCGTTAGAGAGAAATTGCTTACCGACTACTGAGAAGCTGAAGCGATGAAAATGAAGAGCACGAGAAGGTTGTGGAAAATGGAGCGGGTGGTTTGGGGCTTACTTTATAGGGTTTGTAGGGAGGTTTTAAACTGGGCCCCGTTTTGGATTGATTTTACGGAAGGAAGCGCATTCACCGTTTGATTTAAGAAACGAATTGATTCCATCCAAACAGGTGTATAATAACAATTGATGTTATGGTTTCGGTTATACGCAACGAGAAATATCACGAAATTTTGTTGTGATTTAATCATAATTATAAAATTTTTAATCTAAGTTAAAATTCTTTAATTTAATTAATTAAATAATATTTGTCTATTTTTTATTGTAAAGTTAAATTTTGTTTGTGGTAATAAAATAAAAGTGGCGCTATTATGAACTCAGTTTTATAAAAGATATTATGACATTTTAGTATGATTTAATTATAATCACAAAATTTTTTTATATATTTTCAATTTAATTAATTAATTTTTATATATTTATTGTAAAGTTAAATTTTATACTTGTGATTCAATCGGATAAAAATTTTGTGGTAACTCTCGTGAAAACAAATTCACAAGGTAATAAGCTAACAATACTATTTTGCGATTTTTCTTAATAAAAGTGGAAAAATTTGACATCATTGAGCATTTAAATTACCACAAATCAAAGGCAAAACCATGGTACTACAAGTTAGAGCATACAATTATCAAGCAACGAAAAGCTCCAACTGGGATTTATTTTCCTGATCAATAACATCAAGAAAAACAGGATCAACGGTAACGTGACTATCCACGTGGACTTTGAACCTATGGTCCCACGACAACACCTTAGCCGTACCGCCAATATCCACCTTAGCATCCAGCAACATCTCTCTTTTCGCCACGTCAGCAAAAAACTTCCCCGCGTGGTGAGCCAACTCCACCCCGTCCAGCCGAGCGGGCAGCTTCAGCAGCTGGCAAGACCGGGGTGGCTGCGACCCAGCTTTCACCTGAGCCACCCCTAGTAACGATCCTTCGTAGAAGATGGACATGGTGGTGGAAGAGTAATGGACCGGCGCGATGTTTGGGTTGGTGACGTGGACGGTGAGGATTAGCTCGGCGTCGATGTGGGGGAGGTTGAGCTTGAAGGAAGTGAGGTTGATGGAGATGAGGTGGAAAGTTGGGTCTTTCGGTTTCGCGCTGAGGAGAGCAACCGCTGCCGTCGCTGAGGCTGCTCCGATAAATGCGGAAGTCCAGCTCCATTTTACCTTTTTGCCCATGGGTTTCGATGGAAACTACAGAAGAACCTTTTCTCACTCTTTTCTTCGGAAATTCAGAAATGGAGTGAGAGAGCGACGGATGGGAAAGAGAGAGAACTAGACGGCTAGGTGCTAGGCCAATGGTACGCAATTACAGAATTGTCCTTGCAATCGGTTGACCATGTTCGTGAATTTTGTAAGGATGTTTTTGTAATTGAAGAAATGACGAAAATAATCACGTGCGGAGCTGTCAAAAACCATGGTTTTAGGAGGTTGAGACACGTGGAAAAAACGTACAAATAATGGACCGATATCGGAGCTCAATTACAATGTGGAAAGGAGTTTTATGAAAGGTCCGACGTACCAAAATACCATGTGATTAACGCAATTATGCAATGCAGATGTTTATAGTACCATGTTCACATTTTGTACTCTTAAAACTTAAAAAAAAGGCTTTACATATTTAAAGTTTCATTTGCTAATTATACACCAAAGATTATACAAACCTTACAAACAGAAAAAAGAAAGAGAGTAGAGAGATCAGATGCTATATAGAAAATTCAAGAAAGAAAGTGGTGAAGAGGGTTAAAACCAAGCAACTCGACCCAATGCAGTTAAAGGTGCCACTGCTAGACCCATGATGGTGATAACGGTTATGGTCTATAGCGCCGCCTCTACCCGGCACATCGGGTGACTTTGTCCCTCCACCATTATCCCCAGCAGCATCGCCTGCGCCGTTACCAGGAGCTCCTCCTCCGCCATGGGCGGCAACAGCTCCACCACGCCTTTCTACGGCTTTGATCTCGTGTTTGTCTCCCGGTTCGACTGAGAGTGACAAGTTTTTTGGTACTATTGTTTCTCTAACATTTTTTTCTTGATTGAGGTCTACAACAAAGGCATAGTGTCAATGGCATTGATATTTATTTATCTATACGATTCCTCATTAAGTTGAGCATAATCACAGAGAAAAATATTTTTACTTTATACTTCATGGTAATGCATTAAAGATGTACTATATAATCAAAGGTCCCTTCCTGGTTGCTGGTTGGATTCCATTTTGCTGTATATATTTAGGGAAATCTGTAAGACCACATTTTAGCTCAATTAATGTCTCAATTCCTCATTCACAAACATGGTGGAAAGTGCCTTCATCGAAGATAAGAAGGCACGTGGAATGCTGCTATCCTACTCAAGACAAGCAAGTAAAGATCACTTTCTAGGCTGGTAAGAAATTAAAATTTCTTTTTAGTGAAAATAAACCTTCCCTTTATTAATTTTAGTTCATCAATGCTGAGCCATATTTCATAAGCCAGACTCAACATCTATTTTAATAATGAAATTGAAAAAGAAAAATCATGAGCTATTCCCAATGTTTCAAAAATAGAAAAAGTACTGTCGTAGTAATTAAAAAGCACTACTGAATTTTTGTTTATTTTTTAAAAAGTGATTTTATTAACACTACATCATGGTACCGTTCAACGTTTTTAACTGTTTGATAAAGATTTCTACTGACATCTAGCTAATGTAAAAACAGAAAAATACCACTACAGAGGGAAATTACTTTACAAAATTCCATCGCAATTTCCTCTGTAACCTGAGTTATAAAAATAGAAGAAAGCTCTCTACCCTTTCCTTACAAAGGATAAAAAAAACTAAAGATTTCATCAGGCACACCTAAGTGCTGAAGCTTTTATTAGAATCTATGTTCGAAGAGATAAAAATAAATAAATTTTTAAAAAGAGAGAGTGCATATTAATGGATGATGAAGGACCACCAACGCGTAGATACAATTATTCAATATATCTTTTTAAAAATACATATCTTTTTACAATTAAAGGTCATATCTCTTTTAATAAATACACGAAATTTTAAATTATCAAAAATAAAATAAGAATTAAAAAGCCAACAACTTTAAATTCAGATTTGATCCAAATTTCTTAAAATTAACATCAAATTAGAGGAAATACATCATGAAAACTCTAACCCAAATTCCCAGTAGAACACATATGTACACTGAATTTAACAATAAAAGCTTTGTTGAATCAAGAGCCGAAGGAACCATAATCGAAAATTAATAAAGCAATCAATGAGTACCTGCGACCAAGGAATTGTGAGCAAGTGCAGGAAGAAGATGAAGATGAAAATGAAGGGAAAGCAGCAAAAAGAGCTGTCCCAGTCCCAGATGTTTGAAGCCTGTTTCCATTATCAGTCTCCGAAATGAAAGAATCTGGCCTAGCTTGGCAGATTTATCTGTTTCATCTTATCTACTGTACCAAGTCCTTTTTCGGGGTATAAATCCTTTGGAATAAATAAATCAGCCAACTTCCTTTCTTTATAAAAGTTGGCCACATTATTATTATTCTATCCTCATCTACTCGCTAGTGCATCTTTGGTCCTAGTGGCCATTTAATCTCCACAAGAGATCATTTTTTTAGTTAATTAATCGTATTTTCTTTATCAAATTTTACATTGAGATACGGTTTTATCAATTAAAAGAAAATTATTTTATACCAATATATGAAGAAAAAAATATCATCAATATATTCTTTTTGTCGCACAATATCTAGAGTCACATAAAGCAAGTTTAAATAAAAAAAAAACATATTCTACTAAAACCTTAGAAAAAAATTAAATGATCATCAGTAAAAAATAAAATTGTCATCAAGTAAAGTACATAAAATATAAAGAGAGGCACATAGAAAGTTGAGACTTGACAGTCACACCTCTGTTTTTAGGATACCATGGCATAGCCACTTTAGGGTATATACAGAGTTTAAAGTTCAATAAAAGATAAAAGTACCAAATTAGAAGTCCAATCAAAGATAATTCACTTAGGATTATTAACTATGAGGGAGATTTACATATGATTCGACAAATTAAAAAAAAAAACCTTTTAGCTATATTAATAAGATATGCATTGAATCAAATTTATTTAGATTCTAATTCTCCCATCTTCAAATTAAAGAGTCATACTTTTTTACTTCGATATTGTAATTTCTGACACATTGTTGTTATTTTCCTTTATCATGTAGTAAAAGATCAGGGATCTTCATACCAAGCTTTTGAATTATATTAACAATAACAAGGTTGACATCTGCCAAGCTCCAATCATAAAATGAAACCTGTAGTAAGTACCAGTTTGAAAATCTAATCACTTAAAAGTAAAGAAGAGTTTTTTTATTAATTTTTTTATTTAAGTGTGATTGATTACTTAATTGAATCTATTATTTTTAATGAAATTTTAAACTTGATTTAGTATTATTAAAAAAAAATTCTCATTTACAATACAGAACTTAGATTGAGAATTCGATATGAGCAAAATTGTGATGTCCATTCAACAATTAGTGTTAATTTATTATATGTTATTTTATTTTAATTTCGACAAATAGTCATTGTTCATATTTATTTCATTTTTCTCCATTAGCATTTATTTCTTCTTTCCTTGTTTTTTTCTTTTTTAACTTATTATTTAAATATTAGAACAAAAACTAAAGAGAGTTTCATCACTTTAAGAGTATTAAGAAAATACCTTAAATCCTTAAAGAGGTTCAATCATCGGATTATCTTGATAATTTATAAAAAAAAAAGTATTTCAATTTAAGAGTCACTTATCTTAGATAAAGACAAGTCCAAAAGTCTTAAATTGAAAAATGAAATTAGTTATAAAAAATGACTTAATCTAACTTATTTCCAAAATTTACAAAAAAACATTATCTTAAACATAAAGTGGATGTTTACAAACCTTAAATTAAAACAATACCAAAAAGAAAGAGGCGAAAAAGGCCAAAATCAGGTAATCTAAGGGAACGTAACTGAGGGTGCCACCATTGGAACCGTGTGAGTTAGAAACACGGGGATGATTCGTGGCCCCTGCGGCATACAGGGGAATTACAACTCCACCTTGCGTGTAGGGTGATTTTTTCCCTCCACCGCTGCCTCGAGCCCCGCCTACACTGCCACGTCCTGCTCCATGGCCACCTCCATGACCACCTGCCGCGCCCCCACGCTTGTTTACTACTGTGATATTTTGGTTGTCTCCCAGCTTAACTAACATTGTCAATCTCTTTGGAACACTTTTGTATTCAGTGACATCTTGTTCCTGATTGGAGTCTACAATAAGAGCACCATGTCAATGGCATTTCATTAGTTGGTCCATTAGAATTTCTCATCTCAGAACGTTTCAATTGCGTATTTACGAAACTCAGATAGGTCCAAACCTTCCTTGATTGCGCATTTAAGAAGGTACTTCGAGTGTAGGCTAAAAGAAGGCAAATGAAATGTTCCACAAGCAAGGAATACGCCCACTTTTTGGGCTTGCAAGGGAATTAAAGTTCTTGTCTGAAATCTTTAGTTATGTTCTCATCAAATCCATTATTTTCATTGCATATGTATTAAGCACTATCAAGAAACAAGGCTAAAGATCAATAATTATTCGAACAAATTCAATCAACCTTGAGCTCTTAACAGTCATGCAATAAAAGGGTTGCCAAAAATGATTCAAATAGAGAAATTAAACTACTGTAACCACTTTCTTAGCTCGACGGTGAGTTTCATGCCCATAAACAAAGAAATATAAAGCAAAGCTCACCCCAACTGCGGTTAGTATTTACTGATCTTCCAGGATTGGAAGCACCAGGGGCCAAGAATTGGCAAGGTTATGCATTAACAGAGAAATAAATATATATGTATATACCTGCAGTCATGAAGGGATCTGGCAAGGAAGTTTGAGAAAGTGCTAGAAGAGGATGAAACTGAACAGAGAGCAGCAGAAAGAAGACTAAAAAATTCTTGAAACCCATTTGGACGCCTGGTTTCAGTCACCCACCAATAATAAAACCTGGGATTGCGAAATTTTATGCTGCTGTTTGATTCGAATCAGTATCAGAAACTTATAATCATTGATTTGGGAATGAGGTTTCTTGGAAAAAAACCTGCGATGAAGCGTTGGAACAGATAAACGAAGGGATAAGCAGAGGGTGGGTCCAAAACAAAAAGCAAAGAACTTGCTAACGGAATCTTTTTCTTTGCTTGATTTAATTGGTCTTTGCAAATGACCAAATTAACGCTGTTCCGCTATGTATAAGACCCTACACGGCAATCTAGCTTATGTTATCAATAAATTACCAACTTTCAAAACGAAAAATGAACCCTGACCCGGCATGTATGAATACCCAGTAGAGTCCAAAAATCCAGGGAATGGCGTATGGTTCTTGAAGTTCCGTTTCATTACCAAGAAAAAGGGACCGAATCAGATCGGATCCCATCCCCACCCAAGCCTTTCGTCGAAGAAAAGATCAATAAATATAACAGAAGAACAGAAAATTGACACACTTAAATACAGAAAAATGAACAAGCACACATTATTAAGCTTATAAGTAAATGAATAAAATAAACAAATGAGTATGGTCCATGCTACAAACAGGCATGATATCAATCTAAAAATTAATTTGAAATATTATAATTTCAAAACAAAAGAAATAATTAGAAGTATTTCATAAAAATTCAAGCCCATACCTGGTGAGTGGGTTTATGTTTGTAAAAGAGTTCTTGTGATAAAGGAGTGTTGGGTGTACAGAGTATAATGAGGTGACTTAGAGAAAGATCAAAGTAGTTCATTAAGTACTCGGAGGAAGATAATTAGAGACAGATGTTAGATAAGGAAATTTAGAATAAGAATGAGATAGTTTTGAAAAATAGAAGATAAATTTTTATTAACCGCTTGTGTTTATTTATGTTTATTTATTAATTTTTATTTTTGGTATTACTTAAAACACATAAAAAATTTACTAAAACAAAGTTTTGTCATAGGTCATAATTGGGTCATAATTGGTAGAATGAAAAATAAAATAACTAACTATTTTTTAAAATTTAAAAAACCTTATAAATAAATTATAGAAAAAATGTATCATTAAATAAATAATGTTTTAGGTTCTGATTATTCAATATTTTAGATAGTTAGAATTGTCTAGAATAGGCTAAACATTACACAAATAATTATGTTCTTCATAAATTATTCTATCATAATTCATAAAAATTTTTACAAACACCAAATAATAACAATTAAAAAGTTTTAAAATAAGATGAAAATAAGTCTAAAATATAAATATTCAAAATCCGTAATTATTTTTAAATAAATCTTTTGAATTGAAATTTTTAAGTTTTCAAATTTTGCAGAGTAAAAATAAATTTTCAAAAAAAAATTATTTATAGATAATTATTACAAATAAAAAAATAATTAAATAAAAAATTAAAATTCTATGAATATAATGTCATAATAAGTGGTTAATTTAAACAAATAATAAAAATTTTTCAATGATGGAATTTCAAGAATGTTATAAGCAATAATTTTTAAAAAAATTTCTACATAAGAAATTTTTTTTTAATTTTTATCAAAAAGGTTATGAAATTTAAGAGAAATTTCAATATTAAAAAGTTTTATAATAAAAATAAATTTAGAAGAAACAGATAAAATAAGCTCAACATAAATAAATGTGTATAATCCATGATGTTTTGTAGGTTTATTCATTTTTCTTAATTTGAAAATCTCTTCAATAAATGAGTATAGAAATCAAATGGTGAGTGGGCTACTTAAGAAAAATGAATAAACCATAATAATAAATAAACCCATACCTGGTGAGTGGGGTAAGAAATGAATCAAACGGACCTGATCAGGATTGGCCCACAGCAGTCCACTCCTCCAAACGAAACAGTGTCGTTTTGCCAAGGATAGAACGACGTCGTTCAGTCTTTTTTTTTTGCGTCTCGTCCTTTCTTGTCAGACGGCGTCGTTCAAGCCCTTCGCTAAAATCCTCTTTTTTAAACTCTTTTTTACATTACGTTTCTTACTTCCTCTACTCGCCGCTGGTACTTCTTTCTCTCTTTCTATAACCTGGTCGGGAAACCTTGCTCTGGACGGCGCTGGTTGTCGCTAGTCGGCGCCAGAATCTTTCCAAATTTCCCTTTAATCTGAACTGTTTTCTCAAAAACTAATCCGATGCTCCTAAATCTAAACCTGAAAGTTTTGAAACCCAGAAAATCCAAGAACACTCTTCTTTCTTTCTGCCGATTTCTCTTTTGTTTTTGCGTTTTTTTGCTCTGTGATTGTGTTCCTTGTGCCGAGAGCTTATTAATTTATTGTCATTTGTCTTTCCTTTTTACTTTCGCAAATCTTCAATTTTCCATTATTTTTTCTTAATTTGATGTCGTGTGATTTTATTCTTGAGTGATTTTCGTGACAGTGAAGAGATCTTGTAAAAATTAGGAAAGAGCATATTTTTTAGAGATTTTGGCGTAGGTCTCTTTCTTTTTTTTGTTCTGCTTGATCTGGTTTTGCTTTGTTCTGTCTGACATTTTGTTGTTTGTGGGCTTGTTACTGTCCAAAGCCCACTCCTTCATTGGGTTTCTGACCCAGGTCTAAGATTTAAGAAATAAAATAAATAAATAATAAGATGAGATAGAATAAAGTACAAGTAAAATTAAAATTAAAAATGGAATTAAATCCTGACAAGTATGGTGTCTGCCTAATTAATATATATAGAGAATTTTAAGCAGGTAAAACTTTTTGGTTGAAAATTTTTATTTAATAGGTTTTAAGAGAAATGATACATGAAGTTTTATGATATGTACATTAATTGTGATTTAATTGTTCCTGATAAGTCTCATCTGAGTGATGAAGCATTTGTTCGGTGACGTGTTATCTCCTTTGTTTATCGTTTTAAAACTAAAAGCTTGACTTTTCTTTTTCTGAAAGAAATTAAATTAAACTTAAAAAGAATTATCATTTTATTTTTTACCATCTACAATAATAAATGGATTGCAATAGCAATAATAGGATTGGTAGAGAAATGAATCCGATACCTTATTAACTGTTTGAAGGAATAATTTGATGGATGTTAATATTCAGTCAAACTATAGTCCTTATAGGATACATATATAGATATCATATGTACTGGAGATATATACATAAATAATTGGAGTTGAAAATTTCCAAAAAAAAAAACAGTAGTCTCCTAGTCTTGATTTGCCAGATTTCAATACGTTTGAACATTGTATGCCTCCATAGCTACCCTTCTAGCTAGCTTCTTATACATTTATGCATGTTTTGGTTTGCATGAGACATGACTGCACGTTTAATAGATGGAAGAAACCAGCAATCTGGCCATTGCCTGAAGGTGGCATACGGCCATCGTGCTCAGCATTCAATTTAGCGTAGAATTATACAAAGCTTCCACTACTAATTAACTCTAATCCCCCTTGTCCTATAAATATCAACCTAAGAAGGATGTGCTAATTACTTCATCTCATCTCCATTAATTTGGTAATTCTAGAATGAACATGAGAATGTCAGCTGTAGCTGCTTTGGCTCTAGCCCTTGGTCTCATCCTTGTGAACTTCACAGGGAAATGCCACGCTGCTCTTCAGGTAGGATATTACAAGGACAAATGCATGTTAAAAGATGTTGAGGGCATTGTTTTCTCTGCAGTCAAAGGAAGATTCGACAAGGATCCAACAATTGCAGCTGCTCTCATTCGTTTACACTTCCATGACTGCTTTGTCAATGTAAGCACATTGCACAAATTTTTCTACATCTTTGGCTGCCAACACTTGTTCTTTCTGTTTGGTGTAGTCTATGCTAGCTATTAGCAAATCAATTAATACAAATTAATTTTCTGTTAAAAGGGATGTGATGCATCCATTCTCCTAGACGGTAAGTCCAGTGAGAAAACCGCACCTCCAAATCGAAGTGTTAGGGGTTATGATGTTATTGATGAAGCAAAGGGTGAAGTGGAGAAAGCCTGTAAAGGAGTCGTTTCTTGTGCTGATATCATAGCCATGGCTGCTAGAGATGCTGTAGCATTGGTAACAAATAATATACTATATCTTTTTCTTTCTAAAAGATTCAAAAATATTCAAAGCTAAGCCCGAACACTTGATGGTTGATGATGAATTCTGCTTCCCTTCGTGCAGAGTGGAGAAGGGCGATACAGTGTTGAGACGGGCAGAAGGGACGGGTTTGTATCTTTGGCTTCGAATGTAGATCTCCCCTCTCCAAGTTTCTCAGTTTCCCAATCCGTTGATGCATTTGCCAAGAAAGGACTCGATCCTACAGATATGGTTCTTCTTCTTGGTATGTTCTTTCTTCTACTTGAACATACTCAAACTAATTAATCTGAAGTTTTGAAGTTGAATTCTTAAGTAGTAACCTCCGTAAAGAGAAGGAGTGTTTCAGTCACATATAGTTGGGTAGAGATGAGTTCAAATGATGGATTAAACTGCATTAAGAAATATGTGCAATTATTGTTCTTGTATACTGAAACTTCCATGGCGTGTAGGTGGTCATACAGTTGGGGTTGCACATTGTTCTCACTTCCAAGACCGACTTTACAATTTCCAGAACAGCGGGGAGCCAGACCCGACAATGGATCTATCGTTACTTCAGAAACTGAAATCAATCTGTCCGCAAAATTCACCAGCTGACAGATCTGTTGACCTTGACCAGAATCCTCTGAGTTCATTAACCGTGGACAACTCCTTCTACAAACAAATAATTCTCAAGAGAGGAATTCTTCAAATTGATCAAGAGCTGGCCTTGGACCCCTTGACTAATGGCACAGTGGCCAGTATAGCCACCAGCAATGACTTCCCTGCCAAGTTCGGACAGGCAATGGTTAAGTTGGGAGCTGTTGGTGTCCTTACAGGCTCACAAGGGGAGATTAGGAAATCATGCAGTGTCACCAATAGTTTTCCCAACTTCCTCCATTTTTGAATGATTCTTTTTTTTTGCTTCAGATATTTTTGGGATGAATATTCCTTTTTGTTTTTCTTGGCTCTTGTTCTGTTTTGATGGTGTACTAACTTTTATCAAATAGCCATTTGTTTTGTAATAAACTAGTACATGTTTGAGTTCAATGTCTAATGAGGTGCTGTCTCTCCATTCCCAGTCATGATCATCTATGATGAAGCTGAAACATTAGTATTATAGCAAGATACAATAAAGAACTTGATTAAACAAAACAACTATGGAAAAATGACAAATCCTTTAATTAAAACAGCTGAGTTGCATAAATTCTTACATTTTTTGCTTATAGATACAATGGATAGTCCTGCCTTTCTGCATAATCCCCTCTCGGTTAAAATATCCCAATGGCCATAACAGGAAGTTATTGGGATTGAAACTTTTGTTGGAACTTGAGTCTCCGACACTGTCTACCTTAGTTAGCAAAAATAAAGCAGAATGTGACAACTAAATTGTTGGTAATGTCTCCAATTCAGTTTTCTATGTAAGGAATGAGGATATAAAGGAATGTTTGTAAAATTCTTAGTGTCTTTTGACCTAAGATATTCCAAAACCAGACAACCACGGACAAGTGCAAAGAACTTAGTAATCTTCACCTGTAGCAATCACCAACTTGGCATGGAAGAATATGTACAAATTACATAACACAAACCCACTGCCTTGACAAAACTTTATAAATAGCATCATCCTTGGGATTTCAAGCAACCCATCCAGCATATCATATATCAGGCAAAGCTTTCGAGTTTCTAATATGGCTTCAAGAACTTCTACCCTGAAATTCTTTTTTCTTCTGTTATCTTCATTTGCCATTTGCCAGATGGCCTTGGCAGGGGATCCAGATATTACCTCTGATTTTTTAGTCCCTGAACACCACAAGGAAGTTGATGGAAACTTCTTCACATTCACAGGGATGCGAGTCCTCATTAACGAAGACTTCCCTACAAATTTTACAGTCCTGAAAGCTAGCGTGGTGGAGTTCCCTGCCCTAGATGGTCAGAGTGTATCTTATGCTGTTCTTCAGTACCCAACAGGCTCTGTCAACCCTCCTCACACCCATCCTCGTTCAGCTGAGCTCCTTTTCCTTGTAGATGGCTGCCTGGAAGTTGGTTTTGTCGACACAACCAACAAGCTTTTCACTCAGAGTCTACAAGCCGGTGATATGTTTATCTTCCCAAAGGGACTTGTGCACTATCAGTGCAATGCTGATCCAAAAAATCCAGCTTTAGCGATTTCTGCCTTTGGGAGTGCAAATGCAGGGACTGTATCTCTTCCCAAAACCCTTTTCAGTACCAACATTGATGACACTATCTTAGCTAAATCCTTCAAAACTGATGTTGCTACCATTCAAGCTCTCAAGGCTGGTCTTACATCTAAGTAAGCATTAATTAAGAAATAAGCATTAAGCTCTCAAGGCTGACAGATCTCTTTGTTTGTGTACGGGGATTTTGGAGTGTTATCCCTGACTTAGGGGATAACAGTTTGAAATCTTCTGCTCTCTCTAGGGGAGAATTTTGTTCTCTCTTTTCCTCAATATATTGAACTTTCAAAAAAAAAGTAAGCATTAGTTAAGAAATAAGCATCAGCAGTTACTTCTATAGTACTGCTTGATTTGTTCTTAGATGTTTATGATTCCTTTTTCTTCATTTTTTCCTTGTTTGTTGTGAGTTTGTATTGAACTACCATCCCTCCTGATTAGAGGATTATGCATTTCCAATTACAACTAAATTGGTTCTCTCCATTTCTTTGCTTTACGAAAATTCATGTGATCGCAACATTCAAGGTGCAAATTTTTTCTCCTAATTTCTACATTGATGAATCTGAATTTTGATTATAGACTGATAATTACAATTCAATTTTACAAATCTCCAATAAAGGTAAAAAAGGGCAATTAAAAAATCTGTCAGTTTTTAAATAATTGAAAAGAAATTAAAGAAATAAGCCCTTTTTGGATCTTAACAAGATTTGATCATGACTAGAACTTGAACCCTGATCATCCAAATACTTTGCACTTAATCAGTCCAATAAACTCAAAGCAAAGCTATTTTAAATAACTCCATATTTTAGCCAAGGTCTGATAAAATCAGATTAGTAGAAGAAGAATTTCTCTTCCTCCACAAATCACATTCCAATGTCATGAAAATTTCTTTGAAAGATAATACCAAAAGTGAATCCATAATGAGGTAAAGGTTAAACCAGAACAGGCACCAAATTTTCCGACTGGAAAAAACCAACCCCAACTGTGATTCAGGTGCAAGACCTGCCTTGATCTTCTGCATTCTATATAACCTCTCAAATAAAGCATTTGCAAGTTGGCATTTTTGAGTCCAGAGTTTGTGATGACTATGAAATCAAGATAAAGTCCGTCTTGCAGCCTAACTATGAGTGGCAAAAGTTTGCAGTGGGGGTTTAGACCTTCTCTAGGCATGCGAAATGTGAAAATTTATAGCTGGGAATAACTCTGTAATGCCAGTGTTTTTTTTTCTCTCTCCTACGAGGGCTTCCAGCATGAAATATTCAATGCAGTCTAGAAAAAGTTCCAATCGACATATTAAGAATCTACTGGCATTGTGAACTCCTATCATGTTTTAACCTTATAGCCAAGAAGTGTGTTGATGCTTTGACTTGCAGTGAAGACCTTAGCTGCATCAGTGTTATCTTTTCATTTTGTTCCTTGTTCTGTCTCATCAGTTCGCCAGTTGTAATTTCAGTGTCAAAGCATGGAGCCAATGCATGCCTCGATTGGAAATCAACCTTCTGCTCTTAGGTTGTCTAATGTAGAAGAAAATCTTGTATTCTATGATTGAAATGCAGTGTATTTGTAATGCAGGTTAGACAATTGAAATGAACTTCTTAGTTCCCTTCTCTTAGTTTTTTCTCTCTGTTTTACTTTGGCGTTCAATGCTTTATACCTAGGAAAAACCTGGTTCTCCTTTGTCTGATCACAGATAAACCAAGGGTAAGATCCTATTTCCTTGGTATAAAACCTGAAAAGTATACCAAGCATATCCCGTGTTTTCCTTGGTAAAACAACAGAGAATCAAGGATAATAAGCTATTTCCTTGGTACTTGATCTCTAACAAAGTGTCAAGATAGCTAGAACTCAGAATATTATATGACTGAGCTCTGAGCAGAATTAAGTCCATTAACTGTTATTGCTTGTTGCTTCACAGATGAATTTCGATGTGTTTTCTAAATCAAGGAGCCAGATGTACTGTGACATATATTCACAACGCTTACAGTGTTCTCTTTTCTCCTTTGGCTGCATGTTTTGAGCATCAAGAACAACAAGTTAACATGAAGCTAACATAGTGGCTAGTTATATTTGTTGTAGAGTACTGCTTGGGAAATTCCTAGCTAGATGCCACCAATGTTGTTATCTACCCTCGAAGAGAAAAAGAAAAAAAAAGAAAAAGAAGAGTTGATATGGCAGGGTTTTCTGCCTGTTGAGGAATATGTGCTATTCTTTGTAATGCCTTTAAGGTCTTTGACCAGCCAAATGAAGAACCTAACAAACCATAAATACAAAGTCCTCAGTGATCTTCACCTGTAGGCACCAACAAATCGGCCTGCAGCAATGCTAGGATTGAAGAATTCGCGCAATAGAACTCCATAAATAAGCACAGCCATTCGAAGTTCAATCACCTCACCAGCACATCTAGTGTTAATAAGAAGTTACACACCAAAGCTCTACACTTCTATCATCAACTTTTCCACCATGGCCTCAAGAATTTCCACTCTGAATTTCCATTTTGCTCTGTTATGTACATTTAGTATTGCCCAAATGTCCTTGGCTGGAGATCCAGACATCACCTCTGATTTTTTAGTCCCACCAGACGCAAACAATATTGATGGAAACTTCTTTACGTTTACTGGGATGCGTGCCCTCGTTGATGGAGACTTCCCCACAAATTTTACGGTCATGAAAACAAACATGGTAGAGTTCCCTGCTCTAAACGGGCAAAGTGTTTCCTATGCAGTTCATCAATTCCCAGCTTGTTCTACCAATCCTCCCCGTACTCATCCCCGTTCAGCTGAACTCCTGTTCCTCGTAGCTGGAAGCCTGGAAGTTGGTTTCGTTGACACAACCAACAAGCTTTTCACTCAGTCACTGCAAGCTGGTGACATGTTCATCTTTCCTAAGGGCCTTGTGCACTTTCAGTACAATGCTGATGCGAAGAATCTAGCTTTGGCGTTTTCTGCTTTTGGAAGTGCAAATGCAGGCACTGTCTCACATCCGAGGACTCTATTCGCCACTGACATTGATGACAACATCTTGGCTAAATCCTTCAAAACTGATGTTGCTACTATTCAAGCTCTCAAGTCTGGTCTTGCATCTAAATAAGCCATGAGGACATAATAAGCAGAAACTAGTGCTGATTTGTTCTTAGATGCATTATTCCTTTTTGTTTTCTTATTCCCCTTTAGTTATTGTGATTTTGTATGGAACTAGCATCCCTCTTGATATGCAGGTATGCTTTTCCCACATGTTCCTGAATAAATTGACTCTCTTCATTTGTTATTGGAAATTATGTGATCTAAATGTTCGTGTGTGAACCTTACTTCATTATTGTTGAATCTATCTTTTAATTCCTGCCAAAGAGGAGGAAAATAATAGAAAAATTCACAAAGAGACTCAATTTGCAAGACAATAGAGAAAAGGACATTAGTCCAATCAGTCTCACTGCAGAATCTACCGAGAAAAATTAGAACTTCAGTCCACTGATATGGTTTATCTTTGCATTATCTTTCTGAACTCTTTGGTGCTTTCTTTGGCTAAAACATGTTTACAGCTCTCCAAAGCATCCAAGAACTTCCCCTGCTGAACCCTCAAATTTCATAGCCACATAGTTGGGTTGCACATTGTTTTCGACTAATGATCTGGTAGCTGCATTGTTAACTTTAACCAGAATTTTTCTGGGCTCATTTCTTGTCAAGAACTCTTTCTATAAGAAAATCCTATAAATTTATGATAAACCATAAATTTGATCTAACCAGTTTAATTACTCCTAAAATGATTTTAATCTGAAGTGTTCAACTTCAGCTACTCTTTTCTTAAGAATTTAAATTATCTTGAATCTCTGAAATCAATTTCTCGGGCCAATAATTCCCATATTGTCTTACGTGAGTTAGAAATGGATAATGGTCTTTGGCTTTATATTCTTTTTCTTGGTCAGTCCAAGAAAACACTAAGAAAAACTGTAAGCAACTAAATTACTTCCCAAACTGACCATGAAAGGTGAGAACTCAGCAATGCTAGCTTTACTCTTTTTTTTTCTTTTTCCTAAATATTCCATGCAGTCCACTGAATGTGAAGATTTTCCAGCTATTGTTTTGAGAATCGATTTGGGACTGTGAATACAGGTAGCTAGAACAAAGATGATAATCAACCTGATTGAGCTCTGAGCAGGATTGAGGCCATTGTTATTGCTTTTGGGTAATTTACAGATGAAATGAAACTTGTGCCTTCTGAATTGAGGAGCAGAAAGAATGTGATATTCACAAAGCCTAGCATACTTTCCTCTCTCCTTTGGCCTGCTTTTGGTTACATGTTTGTATCTAGGTTCAAGCTCAAGAACAACAAGATGAGGTACCTAAAATGGAAAAACCGGTTGGCATGTTTGTTGTAGACTGCCCAGGAAATTTCTAGCTAGATGCCACTAATGTAATTATATACCATGGGCATAACCAAAATTAGCAGAATGCTGCAACTAGCCGGTTGACAGGGTCTTCATGTATGTGCATATTGCTTTAATATTTTTAATGTCGTTGACCAGCTAGAGGACAATCCAAACAACCACAAATGCAAAGTACTTGGTGATATTCACCTATAGGCACCATCAAAACTGCTTGCAGCAAGTGCCAAGCAATCGCATAAACATAACTCAATAAATAGCACAGCCCTTCAGAGTTCAAAACACCTCATCCAGCACATCCCGTGTTGCAGTAAATAGTGAAACGCCAGAATTTTCATGTCTGTACATCAGAGTTTCAACCATGGCCTCAAGAATTTCCACCCTGAAATTCTTTTTTATTCTGTTTTCTTCATTTGCAATTGCCCAAATGGCATTAGCCGGGGACGCAGACATCACTTCGGACTTTCTAGTCCCCCCGGACGTGAAAGAAATTGATGGAAACTTCTTCACATTCACAGGGAACCGAGACCTGGTTGATAGTCCCACAAATTTTACAGTCACGAAAGCAAGCGCAGTGGAATTCCCTGCTCTCAACGGGCAAAGTGTTTCTTATGCTGTTCTCCAATTCCCAGCTGGCTCTATAAACCCTCCTCACAGTCACCCTTGATCTGCTGAGCTCCTTTTCCTCACGGCTGGTTCCCTTCAAGCTGGTTTTGTGGACACAACCAACAAGCTTTTTACTCAAACTCTACAAGTGAGTGACGTGTTTGTGTTCCCTAAGGGACTTGTGCACTTTCAGTACAATGCTGATGCAAAGAATCCAGCTGCAGCGGTTTCTGCTTTTGGAAGTGCAAATGCAGGCACTGTATCGCTTCCTAAAACCCTTTTTGCCACCAACATTGAGGATGGCATCGTGGCTAAATCCTTCAAAACCGATGTTGCTACCATTCAAGCTCACAAGTCTGCTCTTGCATCCAAGTGAAGATAGTTGCTATGTTCTCAAATATTTGTTGTGATTGTGTGTTGAATAACCATCCCCTCTTCATCAGAGGGTATGTATCTACAATTTGACATTCGTAGCTATAATTAATTATACGATGGATTGTTTCATGGTTTCTCTCTCCCTTCCCTTCTTGTGTTGAGCTAGAAAAAAAAAATCTGTACTTTTGAATTAAATGGATGATAAATTAATATTTTATAAATTAATAATCTTAATTAAATAATATTTTTGATCCATCTCAACTTGAGATTAATATGGTAAATTAATAATTTGATAAATTTATAAGATAATATATCTTTTTTAAAAAAATCACATACGTCTCACTTGATATATAAATTAATAATCTCCTTATATATCAGCATTATATATATACATGACTTAATTAAGAAGTTTTTGTAAAAGATGACTTCAATGTTACCTTTTTTTTAAAAAAATTGATGTCTCATTGGATCTTGTTTCTAATTTTTCTTAATGCATTAAAAAGCTTAATATAGTGTTCTTATATTACAGCGGAAAATTATATGATACAATTGTTGCTTTGTGTGCATCTTGATTGTATTTGATATTGTTGCTTAGCTCACTTGCAAGTTAAAATTTTTCTGGTATCTACTGTTACAATTGCTTTTAAGTACAATTTAAATTTTTTATATTATACTCACATAATACTTTACACATTTCTTCTGTCACTGTTAATTTTTTTACATCTCAATAAATCATTTTGTTTAGTTTTGTTTTTTAATGATGTTTTTGCTTGACTTAATGTTCATGAAATATACTAATTAAGTATATATTAAATGTAATTTTAATTTGTTACAAAAATAACTAGATTTATGATTTCTATTTAATAAGACTAATGACATTTATGAACTTGTTTTGGTTAGACAAAAACATAAAATAATGATAATTTGTAATTCGATAATTAAGTAATATTTGTATAATCATAATACATAATACATGTGTTAAATTCAATATTTTGAAAAAAAAAATAAAAAATACATCGATAAATTAATTTTATATTAATTAATGTATAAATTAATAATTTATTAATTTATTGATTAAATAATATCTCAATTAATTAATAAATTTTTATAATTTAAGGTATTAACTTATATAGGGATTTTGCCGTAGCGCGACAAGAGAGAAAATAGAAGATTACAAATTGGATAAACTTGAACAACAAAATGAAATAGAGAGGAGATTGATGCAATGGAGACAAATAGCAAAGCTTAAGGCAGAGCCTTTGATTTGAGTTAGCCTTGCGCTTGGAAAAAGAGTAAAACCCAACAAGCCCATCTTAAGCGGGACTGAAGGTCGCAACTGCTAATGCTTTGACCGAGCCAGCCACGACTAAAAGGGCAGCGTTTATTATTGAAACTAAAAGCGTTTCGAGGGAATCTCAACCCTTCTTACCATCAATGATGAAGGCTTAAGGCACTAGCCTCAACAGAAACAGATTGACTTCTGTTTTTTCTTGTTTTCCAGTTTACGTTATCTCCCCAGGTAGAGATATCGCTATCCACAGTCAAGAGGACCACTTTAAAAGAATTAAGAATCCTATGCACAGCTTAATTTCGAAATCTGAAGCAATGCAGAACAAAGAAACAGTATACTTGGTAATAACTGACATTATAGTGGCGTTGCAACCTCAACTGATAAATTGCCATGCCAGGTCTTGTACCACAATGCTAATCAACGATAATACTCCTTTCATAAAGCATCTCTCCTTATAAAAGGAGATTCATACTAAAATGTAATTGGAACATAAAAAAATGCCGGGATAGATTTAGAGCCATTCATTTGTACTACTCAAATATAAATCCCAGGGCTACCAAGTCAGTTAAAACTACAAAAAAATCACAAAGAACAACCATAACAGAAGCACTACCACCAAAACTGAAGGATAGGTTGCTATTATAGAAGGTGCTAGTTTACAGCCTTCTTCCTCTTCTACCACCCTTTCTACGGGTGCTGTCGGTGGGAATAGGAGTCACATCCTCTGGAAAAATAGAAGAGCCGACATAAGACTTTGACACTAATATGCCAAAGAAGATTATTTCTCAGCATCTTTAAATACTTTTAAATACTATCTGTTAAAAAAATGGCTTACCAATACGACCAATTTTCATTCCAGAGCGAGCAAGAGCCCTGAGCGCAGACTGAGCACCTGGACCAGGGGTCTTGGTTTTGTTCCCTCCTGTAGCACGTAACTTGATGTGAAGGGCAGTAATTCCAAGTTCCTGTTCAGTATTAAAAATGCAATTTGTCAACACCAACATACATTTGAAGATTATCTCTTGGGTAACAATCTAATATTACTAAAACTATAATACAAAATTGACAAATTCAGGTTTTTCTTATCAGATAAAGAGTAGCATATGACCTTGCATCTCTGGGAAACATCTTGTGCTGCAAGCATAGCCGCATAAGGTGAAGATTCGTCCCTGTCAGCTTTCACCTTCATACCACCTGAGAATCTCAAATTCAATCTTAAGAGAAAGCTTCAACAATATAGAGTGTCAAGAATGTAATTAAATGGCTATAATGGTGATTCATTGATATAAAACTTGGCACCCTTACCTTCCCTCTCCTTTTCATAATGACAAAGAGACACATGTTCATAGAAAAATAAGCATACTTGATATCATACCCACTAAATCTAGTTAGGATCTTCCACATGCCCACAATTACCAAACTATTCTTAAGCCAGTC